CAGTAAGGAACGCTGAATGTCCTTACCACAAACACTAAACCATAAACAGTTAGGCAAACAGGTAACTCTCCACCACCTGTGTACAAACAGAGGCTCAAAAATCTGGTGTATTCATCTGACATCTATCGTTTTGTAATGCTTATCCGGGGGAAGGTCAGAGCAGAAGCAGTCTATGTCTGCGTCTACAGTGGCCACTTTTCATGTAATGGAGATATAAACTGAATTCTTAAGAATCTGTTTTGATCATTTCCAACTCTATATTTTTTTCTCATAACCCACTAGAGAAGCTTTGTATGATCTTACATTCAAAATTATCCTTATTCGCCTTAAGCTGGGTCTTGGTGTAGCCCCTCAGTCCACTTACTCTCTGACATTAGCTGGTTAGTTCGCTTCTTCTTCAAGGGTGAAATCTAAACTATCTAATTTCAGAGAATTATGAGGGAAAATATGTCCATGAGGCATGTCTTTCCACAAGCTCCTGTTCTCATCCTCCGACTATTTGACACAACCGGTTCAGCCACTCAGCTGTTCCATCCACCACATCGTTACAGCTTCAGTTGCAGGAAAAGGTTTGGTCCCTCTGGAAAATCAAGTCACCTCTGGAAGAATGTACCTGCCTACCTGCTCTCCACCTCTGCCCCCTGGTGTGAGTCCATTTGGCATCCAGTCTAACTCCAGTCATTGTAATAAATACCTGGAAACTTGCTTGGTGTCTCTGCGTCTGCGTTTGGATCCACTTGTTCTGGCTAAAATCACGACACAGTGAACCTCAATGTTTCATCTTGGGCCATGTTTAAGATGAACATCCTTTGTAACAGCATACACATGTAAATAAGCATGCCAAAGTCTAGGAGGTTCGCTTGCTTGAAAAAAAATGATTTTTTTTCAAGTAATAATATCAAACATAAATTATATTAGTGTTGGCTCAAAGATTTCACATCTGCTTTTGAGACTCAGAGTTCAGTTGGCTGGTTCCTATAGCAACACTGAATTACTTTTATTGTAGATTTTTTATCACTCTTGAAAAATGAAAAGTAATTCATTTACAAAAAGTTAGATCTACAAATATTCAAAACCTGAGGCAGAGCTTGGGTTGCTCTGGTGCGTGTTTCTCAAATACATACATTTGGCAAACTGAGGGAAAGTCTGGAAATCATTTCTCTTTAAAAGGCTTTAAAGTTCTCTCTTCTTCCTTTTTCCTCATCATCCCTGCGTTATCTGTGGGATTTTAAAGGCCAAGTTTTTCCTTTGTCTTGCCGCTGTTTAGTTTCAGATAACTGGCAGGTTGAGCACACAGTGTTTGATTTTCATGTTATCAGTAAGCCTTTAATGTGACTCATCCTGACTTTGCTGCCACCGCTGATGATAAAGAATCATGATAGCTTTTTCTAGTGAAGCAGCGGTTGAGTTAGACACTGTAGGGACAGTTTCATATAAATAGTGTTAAATTTTAACGTTACACTCCCAAACTGCGCTGAACTTAAAAGCAATTGTCGCGCTCATGGAGATACTGACATCAGCCGTCTTACATCCGCTGAACACCTGCCGAGCAACATCACAAAACCTGACTCTAACAGGTACATCAAACAAAAGCAAACAACCCGTGGGCGTCTGAAAAGTACAACAGAGTACAAAAGTATGCTGTGTGTCACAGTGTATGTGTGACTAAGCTCCAGCAGTCTGCACTGTTCAGAATAAACATAAACATAATCTAGGCAAAGCACTTAAACCTTTTCAGAAACATAAACAATATGAAACTTTGCAAGCTGATGTCTAAAGCGCCGAGTGACCTGCCATAAATGGACTAGTTATTATATAGCGTTTTTCTACACTTACCTCGCTCACCCAAAGCACTTTTTTTAGGCTTAAGTGGTTTCTATCAAATATTTACACATCAGAGAGAAACTTGGAGTTAGTATCTTGCTCAAGGATATTTGGCACACAGGCTGGAGCAGCCAGGGATCAAACCACCAACCTTCCAATCAGTAGGTGACCTGCACTACCACCATCCCAGCCTTAATAGTATGTTTCCATACACAGTTTACATTAATCTGCACAGCCACCTTTATTACAGATTAAGACAGTGGATATCAAACTTTTTCTGTCAGCTGACAGCCCATTTACCGCGATGATTTTGGTTTTTTAATCATTAATAGTAACAATAATGATGATAATGATAAAAAAGAATCCACATTAAACTTTGGGTACTTTTTGTAATACATTTCTCACATGGTGGTTTCACCCAAAACCTCTGCTGAAAATGACCCACACCTTTTTTAACACCTTGACTCATGTGATGAGGCACATGATTAATGGTGAGTCACAACTTCCACAGGGAGCACTGGATTTTTTTCTACGCTCAGGGAACTCAGTGTGCCAAAATAACCCCCCGAATGCACTGCACTAGTCGTTACCAAAGCAAGCCTGAAGTGTTTGAACTTTCCTGTCCAGTCACAATGCTTTCCACAGTGGACTCACCCTGCATCCTCGCAAACTGCTTCTAGCGCCCATCTCTGATAGGGACGAGTCTATGCGATCACACACGAACAATAGGACTCACTCTGTCCATGACAGCGCATTATCATCATTCTGAGGTAAGCAGCTAAAAATAGCACAGTGTTACTTCCTATCCATGCACCACCAATCTGGTCATCATTTCCCTCAGTGATATCACAATGACGCAGAACTGGGGACAAACAATAAATCATGCAGATGAGAGATTTTAATTTCAAGGATCAGAACTGAAGCAAATCCTGGTCAGTCACATAAAGTCATCTCAGGAAAAGGACCTGAAAGGATCAAAATGAAAAATCGATATATTAATGAAAACATTAATGTATATTAATCACATTTTAATGTTAATAAACATCATTAGTAACATTCAGTGACAAAAAGTGTTAATGAAAACACCAGGAACAAGAAATGTTTTTAAACACTGAAACAAATAATGAGCTCGGCTGCGACGACTGGTTTGTTCCATTCAAATGAATTCATTGAAAATGTCATTAGTAATCCTCTTTAAATGGCGTGGTTAATCAGACAATTGTAAATTAATATTTAATGATCCTCCAGAATGATGATTACCTTCAGACATCATGCTGGAAGTCAGAGGACTGAATATCTCAAACTGTTTTCAACTTTATTCTGACAGACAGAGCAAACGTTTTTGTATCTGTAATATTTTTGATAACAGCTCCATCAACCATTTTTGTCTTTGGTATGTGTTTTATTTCCTTAATTTCTGTTTTTTCCTCGGTGGACTTTAAACTCAGAGGTTCAGCTTCAGCATCATTTTTTTTGTAAGCATCACAAAGCCCAACTATTTGTTTCTTTATTAAAGTATTTCAAGGACCTTGTTGATCCTTGTCTCTGTGAGACACATGAATTTATCGAACCAGAAAAGTAATAAACACTGATTTTTAGTATGCTTTATAAAATTGTTTTTCCCTATTATCATAATCTCAGTTAAGCCAAACATTAACAGGAAAACAGACTAAATATTCAGAACTCAGATTTTAAATTCAGATCCAGCTATATTTTTATTGCATTTATTGTTTTTCCCCCCGATGTGCTTGTCCACATCGTGTGAAATTTGATCATGCTGTCAAAATCAAATGATGAAGAAAGGTCTTCCTGCAGCGGAGGCAAAACTTGAGGTAATAAACCATGAAGCTGTCTGGACCCACAAAATCCTGAAAAGAAAAGAAAAGAAAAGGGTGGCTCCCAAAGTAAGTCAGTCCCTAAGAACTCAACTTAAAACCGAAACGTTCACTTTCTACTCCTTGCAGCTATGCTTCCATTATTATCAGCTGTATGTGCGGGGATTGTTTTCAATGACTCATCTTTTTTTGGTTTTTATTAAGGCTTAAGGACATGTGCTTGCTTTGATGGACAGGTGTGCCATTGTGTGCAGCTATACCATATACCTGTCTACTAAGGTTTACTTGTGTCAATTCATCTCACCTCCCCATTTGTCTTGGTGTTGTTGAAGCCTTTCTTAAGGTAGCCAATCTGTGGATGCGTTGTACTGATACAGTTTACAAATGCTGGTTGCTAATTGAGCTTGTTAGCATTAGCTTTTAATGTTTTTCTCACTGTGGTTTTATGTCTATCTTTCATATACAGTCTATGATCTTCAGGTTTGTGTCCACTTCACTCTCGTATTTATGTTCCATTCGAGCCCGTCATATCAAGGTTATACACTTTGTGAGTAAAGAGTAGTTTCATGAGTTCTTGAAGCCATTCTGTCGGCTCCGACCTATATGAGCGGTGACTTTTGTTATCAGCAAAGTGTTTAATCTACAGAGCTGCAGATTAAACACCTTGCAGGGTTTTTGTTTTGAGATCAGCTGCCTACATTTAACATTCGGAAAGTATCAGCAAGATGGGATGCACTAGAATATCATACACTGTGTTAGTGGATAATTCTGTATATGCAGGTGCACAAGTGTTTTTATTAAAGTGCTTAGAAATGTTTTATTAGGTTTTTTCAAGCATCTCTTTAAGACACTTTCTAAACTAGACAGTATCAGCTGGGCTTCATTCTGAAAAATCGGATGAAAAAAAAGGTGCGGAACAAGTAGCAGGAAAAAGATATGTGGAGATCTTTCAAGTTTTCTGTACATCCACAGCAGGAACCCAGCTGAGTGTTGTTGGAAGAGGATAAAAGGACTTTAGTGTCTGTGCTACAGCGCAGGGAAGGCTGTAGCTCATTTCACTCTGGATGAGTCACCGGCTCCGAGTGAATGTTCACAGAGTTGATCTCACCATCATCCATTTACCATGACTCATCAGGACATTCACATAAAATGTTATTTCAGCCTAATGAATACACTTTTTATTTCAAAACCATGAACAAGAACACACAAAGGAACAAACAACTCGGCACGATCCACGAGCCTCAATCCTCTCTCTCTCCCTCTCACAAAGAGGGGAAACCTCTTGAAGATAATGATGCTTTCAACAAGCGGGGACGATTAGCATCAACTTACTGAAAGAAAAAAAAAAAAAAGAGCATGCTAGCAAAAGCTGAAAACCCCTAAACGCTACATGATGAGATGGGAGCATTAACAGGATAGAGATAAATCTGTTTTTAGTATGGACCATTGACTGTTTTCTACAGTCAATGGTATGGACTAATTGAGCTCAGAAATGTAATGGCCAGCAGGGGGCATTAACACTTTTTCTGACAGGTTCATGTTCTGAGGTGCTATTTTCAGTTTGTTTTTTAATACAATGTTTTTTTTTAGTGAATTTTGATTCCACTGGGATTCATAAAAAGACTGACAGCAGCCAGTGCTACCCCTCAGCCTACTAATAGATGTACCCATGGTATCAATTTGAAATTCCTACATCGCATTCACAAGATTTTCAGAAAACTTGACCTATGACCTTGATCTTAAGACTGAGGTCGCATTCAAGATTTTCAGTAGATATAGCTACGGTAACAATTTGGAATTGGTACGTCATTTCGTTCTTGAGTTATCGCATTCACAAACTTGGGCGTCCACGTCACCTCCCCGCCAGGATGACGATGACGCATAATCAGCCTTTTGCAGCTGAGGGGTGATAAAGGAATATAAAACAGTTTTGTGATCGACATATCGCTCGTGCGATATGAGCTTGCAGTGTTCCTCACATTCTCTGTCTGATCAAATCACCTTAAACACAAAATAGCGAAAAACCTCAGCTCAAAACTTCATAATGAGAGGAGGTCTCTGTGTGTTGGCCCTGAGACAGCCTGGTGACTTGTCCAGGGTGATCCTTGCCCTTCACTCTGTGACCGATGGGATGTACTCCAGACCCACAGTAACCGGAAATCCAATAAATGGAAGAAAAGGGATGGGAGGATCATGTTATATACAGTATATTAAATACTGTGGGATATACAAGGTACCAGGGTGGCTTTAACTTTTACTTACAGGATCTAAAGTGCTGCTCACAGACTGTCTCACTATTAAAAATGTAGTTTAATCATTAGGAGTATATTTTAACATATATAATACCTTAAGTTTATTTTCAGTATTGTGGTATTCAGAACAGAGTTGGACAGTGTGAAACAGGACAAACGCAAAGAATCGGAGGTGAAATTACAGGAAAAAAGAATAAGACTTAAGCATGTTTACTCTCAGAGGTGCATGTAAAGGCTTTATACTGTTTTGGTCTCTTGCATCCTCTGCTGGTACAGAGAGAAACTCCATCTGCTGCAACACTGGTGTAACACAGAGATTTGTGCACCGTCACTGTGATGTGGGCTTTGCCTCCTTCAGTATTTGGGTCAGCGTGACTCACCACTGTCACAGCTTCAAGGTTTTATGTAACAGTGACTAAGTTCCTTACAAGTGGACAAACTCACCTGTCTTTTTGTGTGTTTTGTATGCTTATGTGGACAAGTATCATCTTGAACCTCTTAAAGAGAAGAATGGGTCTGGACTGTGCTGACTTCAAATCTTCAAAGCGCGTTTTTGCGAGTTTGGTCTCGGTTTCAGGATTCATAATAGAGTCTGGTTTAGGCTGGGATTAGAGGGGTTAATGAATACATTATACCAACAACTGTTCTCACAAAGATTTAAAAAAAAAAAAAATGCACGTGTCTTTAATTCAAGTCCCTCGCCTCCCACCTGCTGCCCCTGAGCATCAGATGACTCTGAGCAACACAAAGCAGGGGGAGCAGAAGAAGAAAGAAAAGACAAAGATTAAAAGATGACTCAGTGCCTTATGAAAGGACAACATGAGCCAAGTTACTGCTTTAGCCTGCAGTCACAGCTGCTGCCATCTTTACCTCAACTTTCACCTAAATTCCAAGTTCACCTGCTTCCACTGCAACCATAACAACACATACTCTTGTGAATGTAGTAGTCATGCCTACAGGTGAAGACTTCAGGGGAGTTGCAGCAAAGTTAAGTTACCGTGTCGTGTTGTACATAGTGCCGACATGGGACAGTTTTCCAGTTTCATTATACCATTTATGACTGTGCAATGATAATAAAGAGTTACCTTATCTTATCTTATCAAAGTCACCTGTGTGGGAAAATACCTGCCAGCAAGCCCATGCTTCCTCTTCATCTTGCCTGAGGTCATGAATGTTATTAGCATTAGCTAGGATGGGTGCTAACAGCCTCCCAGTAGCCAGTGTTGTTACATTACTGTGTCAGTCCATAACATGCTCTGAAATTCAGTGTAAGATGATAACCAGTTAGGAATATAAAAGTTAAGCTGCAGCCCCACCCAAATGTCCTACTGACCACAAACACATGATCTTCCTTCTAGTGTTCAAGTTTGAGCACAAAACCAAAAACCAGCCCGATAAGACTTCAAAGCCATCACCAACCACGTGCAGGTAGGACCTGAGGCCCCAATGCTTTTGTTACCTGCTGAAAATGAGGTCAGGTCAGCTTACACTCAGCTTTGGCATCACACTGGACTGTTTGCTGCCTTTGTGTTAGCATGCTGTCCGTGCAGATGCTTGCAAAGAGCTAATGTTGTGTCAGGAGTATAACATAGCCATTTGCATCCTGGATGCAGTTTGGACTTCACCATGAAAATAAAAATAAGTGGTCATGTCCTCGCTTCTAAGGTGTTATAGACGACTCCACCATTCTCCTCCTCCCTTCACACAATGAAATCAGCTGATTTGACAAAAAGGCATTTTTTAATGTTTTTTTTTTTTTTACTGCCCATCATTCAGATTATTGAGGATCCTTTCAATAAATTCAATAAAAAAAACACAACTGTAATCGCTTTTTACTCGTTCGCCACTTCACTGGTCCTACAGAAGCACAGGTACCACTGCTTTTGCATGGCAGCGTGAACATTACAGGATAAATCATGCTGAGCTTCTGTAGTAGGGCAAACAAATACGCAGAACAGGGCCCCTTTAGGATACATATCTTCTGATGTGGGTGGGGCTGAGATGACCACAATAGGGATATATGCTATTAATGACATCGTACAGTTGTAAGAGTAGAAAGGAACTAAAGCACTTTGAGATTTTGGCTCTTGGTGATTACTTGTAAAAATGTTGAACTCGTTATTTGAAACTTTGGCCATGTTTAACATTAACATCCATCCCACTAACAGAATACATAAATGGCAGAAAATAAGGAGCAGCGTAAAGGGTCCCTTTTGAGGACACTGTTATATGTGTTCGCTGTACTCCGTGGAAAGGATTTTGTATTTGTACCCCACACACGCCTAAATCACACCCCAGAGGATCATGTGAGAGCACTTCAGTTAGAGGAGGTGCTGGCTGGTACTGTAAATGATAAAGTAGCTGCAATACAACAAAAATAAGGACAAAAACAAAAGATGAATGTTTACTTGCAGTGTTTGACCAAAGTTATCAGAACTGCTTATTTTGTAGAGTTTCAGCTCTATGAATAGCTGTCAGCAGTCCTTCAGTTTTCTGCATATTGAACTTTTTATAGAAACAGAGCACTCCTACAGCAAATGTATACTGCTACAGGTGTAAAGAGTACAGTAAACAGAACACAGACAAAAAAAAAATACCAGAACCAATCAGCATCAGCATTATTATTATTATTATTATTGTTGATCCCACAGCGAGCGTCAAAAGATGAAGAACAGAACATGTCTACATTCTCTTGGTTTGTATCATCTAGATGTCCTTTCAGTCCTTTTGTTTAACAGTCTGATGTCCAATCAGGTATCAGATCCTCAAAGACCTGGAAGTTCACTGGGTTTCCTCCTTTAAAGCTTTTCTACAAAAAAAATATGATGAGCGACGATCACTGGCAGCGTCAGATCCAACCAACCACGTCATCAGATCAATAATAAATCAACAAAATAAAAGTACAATCAGGATACGTATACGTACATCTTTATATAGATTTATAGACTTAGATCTCTCCCAGGAATAGAAGCACTAATATATACATACACAACTGCTGTGGGGCTCATTGGGTCCAATCAAAAAGAGAGGCTTAAAGACGAATCAGAATGAAGCTGCAGGAAGTCTTAAAATACACAAAAGTCTCTCCGGGAACTGACCAGGACCAGCTGACCACAAAGCAGACTGCATTTCCCAGCATGCAGCAGGTCTCTCACAGGCAACTTCAAAGTAGAACTTTAGAAATACTGAGGCCCAGAGCTCCTCGCACCAAAGAAATTAGGAGCTACGAACCAAAATAAAAAATTTACCGGTTGAATTAACTTAAATTTTCCTGCTTTAATGTCGTCTCAGCAGTTTCAGGTATAATTTTGGTAGAAAGTATCATAATTGCTATCATGTTATAATTTCCTGTCCAATAGGCACAGACTGTACATAAAAGATGGATGTAGCCTCTGAAATCACCCACTGCTGGCACGAGCAAGAGGGCAATCTGAGAATCCCAGAAACACTGCACAGCTTAAACTAACCCTCACTTTGCTTTATGAGACTAATAGGAAGAAGAATTAAAATGAAAATAACGTTGTATTCAAAGCAGTGACAGAGCCCAACAACTCATCAGGAAAGAGAGATCACAGATAAGTAAGAAGTATGGTTGTTTGTCCACAGACTTCTTTTTCTAACAACATTTGTCCCCCGTGTTGGCTGTTGGCGAGAATGCAGGTATTCACTTAAATATAGAAGCTACGTCCATGTTTTATATAATTTTTAAACCAAAATTTGAAGTTTTAAGAATCAGAGGAAATAATTTATTAGAATGTAAAATTTTGAGCTAAGAATTAAAACAATGTGGAAAAATTAATAATTCATTAATCAATTATTAAAAAAAAAAAAAAAAGAAGACCCCCCAACACAAAAAGAAAAAAAAACTTTCTTTGATTTCTAAAATTGTAATTTGACTATTTATGGATTTTGGACATTTGACTGTTTTGTGCAATTTCCTGATCTTTTATAAACCTAATTATTGTTGGATTAATCAACAGAAGAACTACCACATTAAATTATTATAAAAGTAATCAGCTGTTGCTCCAACAAAAATTATTTTAACCACTCAAATTTGCCTAATCTTTAACTGAGGACAATCTGAGTCCAACATGCTAACAGCTCACAAATGAAGAAGATGGGCAACTTTTAGAAGCAACACATCGGTTTAGCAGCTGTATTAGCAGGAAACACCCAAGTAATGAGGCTGCCATGGTAAAATATGCTAAGCTACAAATTATTTCTTTAGTCAACTTTTATTAACCTGCACTTGATGCTATATTTTTCTGGTTCAAGCACAGGAACTGAGCGCCCCCAATTTCTCATGGCCTTAGACTGAAGTGCATCAGAAGACAAAACTCCAGGTTAATTACTGAAAACATCTGAGGTGTGACTTAAAGGACTATAAACTAAAAAACAAAATAAAACAAAAACAAAACAGGGAATAAAAAAATAAAATAAAGAGACTTATACGATTTAGAAGGTCATGATTAGCAGAGGTAAACATTTTACCAAATTGGAACAAAGATCAAAAATAGAACCAGCTATTTCAGTCCAACCAAACTCTGTAGAAAAAATGTTTAATTTAAAGTTACGACAGTTTGAGGCTCAGCAGCATTTTATCCGAGTTGATTACAGTAAATCAACTAAAACGAATGTTTCAGAGATATTTCAGTGGGTGGAGTTGAATTGAAAACTTCAAGCAAAACTTAAACTTCACTGAATATAGCAGATCCTTTGTTTATAGAAACTAATTTGAAAAATGTTTGTCTAAATGATAAAAGCATAGTGCTATAAGTAGCTTCTGAATTTTCCAATAGTCAATATGGAAAAATCACAAGGTCTTTGTTGATACTCAAAAACAATTTTTAAACCTGTAACTAGAGCTGAAAAAAATAACTTAGTTTAATATAATCTGAGTAATTTAGAAAAACGAGACATTTTTTATGGTTTTCTCACATTTTATATAATAATATAACTCTTTTTAAAAATCGAAATAATTGTCAAGTTACATCTGCTCCTGATGCCCTTCAAACATAACTTCAGCATAGCTTTTACTACTTGTGAATAAAACTGTATTATTCAATGTTCCTCGTGCCAACATGTTAGCTGTGCTTAAATCCGCATCATTGATGTCCTATAACTATACAGGGGAACAACAACAAGGAGGACTCCTTAAAATATTGTAACCAGGATATGCAGACTCATCAAGTGGACTTCAAAGCCACATAACATGAATTATCACGACATGGCCTACAAACCACCCAGATTCAGTCATGCATTTACAGAAGACACCAGAATAAACCGATGCATAGGTTCTGTGGGTTCCAATAATAGTGGAAATAAAGAGAACTACAAACAATTACTTTAAAGTTGTTTTGGATTAATGTATATGTTGGTCACCAAGTAACAAGAAATGCCAAAAACCTATTTCTTGGTATTCATGTAGTATCTTGTCCACAATATCTCTTTAACAAAATGATGTTTAAAGCATTCTTGTTGATGCAAATATCTGTGTAAATAAATCTAAAGACTAAGTCTAGACTAAATCTAAGTCTTGAAACATGGCAGCGTTTACCTTATAAAGTACATTCAAACCATCAGTCCCCTGTGGTAGTTTTGTTCTACAGTTCAGCTCATCATAGCCAGCTATGTTTAGCAAAAATGCAACCCACATTTGTCAAGCCGCTTCTTCTGAAACATCAGTGTTGCCTCATAAAGTTGCCAACAAACCGCTGTCTATTTGTGATTTTTGCTCTAAAAAAATTTGATGCTTATTTACACAGCAAACCAGAGTTTTTCCCCACAGTAACATTTTTCATTGTATTCCACAAACTCTCACGTTCAGAGGAAACATTTGGAGTCCCAGGAGTGGCACAAATCTCCAATCTAAGGTAAGAGCAATCAAGTGACCTCAGACCATATGCCACTTAAAAAAAAAATATATATATATATATATATATATATCTCAATATATCTCAAACCCAGTCCTTGTGTCCTCAAACTCTTTCTTGTTCTACCTTATTTAAATCTAAAGCCAGATGCAAAGTCACGAGTGTTAGCATTTGGCTCTTTGAGATGACCAGAAACCAACTAAATACTCAGATCAAATACACCAGACAATCACTGACCCCGAGTCAGTAAATTCGAAACTCCACGATCATGGTTCAACCACTGTGAGTCCACTGAACTACTGATAAACCCCGCCATCCTGGGAGACTAAGCAGAAAGCAAATCAAACACAGCCAGGCCAAAGATGCTAACAGCTTCCTGTTCTGCCTAATGACATTTTCTGACCAGGAAGTGAGTACCAACTAAAATAATCAAATCAAAAGTTCTTTCTGTAAGACTGAGTCACACAAAAACTTTATCCACAATCAAAATGCATGAAAAAAAAAGGCAAAAAGACGTTTGCTGCAACAACAGAAAAGTCTCAAAAATGCTTAAAACATAAATTTAAAAGGACAATCAAGTAAATTTATAAAATAAAACAAGCAATGTTGAGTTCCAGCGGGAAAAAAAATCAATCTGTCAACACTTTCAAAGTGTGTTTGAGTTTTCTCTGTGCTGACACACTCTGATATCTCTTCAGAAACCAAACTAAACTTAACAGTTTAGCAGAGAAATAAAAATCTGCTTGTCAGCCTCATTTGTGATTGGTTGGAGGGGGTAGGAGAGGGGCAGAGCGATCATTGGTGATGGTCCTTCTGAGCTTTACTCCTCTAAGAAGGGTCAACATGTTTCTGTTGCCTCCTCCATCTCCTTCTTCTTCTTCTTCTTCTAGGGTGACCTGCTCAGGGTTTTGGTCCTGGCTGGAGGGTGGAGGAGCCTGGGGCTGGTAGTTGATGTTGTTGGGCACACCGGAGGGCTCTGCCTGAGTAGTGTAGGCCTGGTGCTGCTGTTGCTGCTGCTGGAACAGCTTCTGTTTCTGCTGCTGGTTCAACTGCAGCTGATACTGATCGTGCTGAGGCTGCAGCTGCTGGGCTTGCTGAATCTGGGGCTGTTGGAACTGCAGCTGCTGCTGATGTTGAAACTGCTGCTGAATCTGTTGCCATTGCTGGAACTGTTGCTGCTGAATCTGTTTCTGCTGCTGGAACTGTTGCTGCTGAATCTGTT